ACTGATCAGTAAAAATCGCTTCACTGATCAGTGACACTGGTGACAGGGCAGTGAAGGGTTAACTGGAGGGGGGGGTGATCAGGGGGTTAAATGTGTCCTAGAGTGTTCTAACTGTAGTGTAGTGCTTGTGTACTCACTTTTTGGATGTCTTCTTCCTGTCTGGAACGGAATGTGTCCAGGCAGAGAAGAATGACATCATATCCTGCCCTGTGTGTATGTCAACACAGGACAGGATAGGACAGGGACCGATCATGTGATTTCAGCCAGAAATCACTGGCTGAAATCTAATGATTGATCCCTCCTGGATCAAATAGTGTCACCCGCGGGTCGGCGGTGAGGGAGCGCGCGCACGCGCCCCCTGCGAAAGTGTCGGGAGCGCGGAACCCGTTTTTAAATGTGGTTTTGCGCTCCACTGCCGCCCTGCACACGTATATACACAGTGGCAGGGCGGCAAGCGGTTAATCTCTATCTATGTAGTTTGTAAGCTTTCCCCGTAATAGCTTCCAATTCACTGACACTATGGATGTTTTTTGTAAAATCTGGTGTAACTTTGCATAGAAACCAATCAGCTTCCAGGTGTTATTGCCAAAGCTTAAAGTGTTACTAAACCCACAGCAGTAAAATCAGTCTGTATATGCAGTAAAGCATGCTTGTTATACTCACTGTGGAAGGGGTTGATCCTCTGCATTGTGTAAAAATGCTGTTTTATCCTGACTTCTCTGATCCTCCCCTTCTTCCAGTGTCCTCCTCTTATCTCATGATAAGACATATAGTTGGAGACACTCTGCACATGCTCAGTTTGGTGTGTTTTGCTAGAGAGGTTTTTTTTTCTTGGGAGAGTGCATTTGATCAACATGGGGCTAATTAGCACTATCCAGACAGAGGTCAGGGGTTCTGCATCCTTCTAGAGCAGAAAGAAAACTTCTACAAGCTTTAACATGTGCTCTGCTAAATACTGATAGAAATCACAAGACTGCTCTAACTGCTGTTGAGAAAATGTATTTAGCAGTTTATATTTAAATAAATATTTCATTTCCTTGTTCTGTGTACTGTGGGAGACCAGATATAGTGAATGCAGGGTCCTGGGTTTAGTAACACTTTAACTGAACAAGCTGAAGTTAGAAGCTGATTGGCTACCGTGAACAGCTATAACAGATTCTGAGTGCTCCAGTTTTAGTAATCTTTCCCTATGGCTCCTCTGTGCCCCCAACTTTCATTTATACTGAGGAGGCTGGCTTATCCAGGAGCCCTTTATTGCCTTTTTTATTGCCTTTTTAAGCCTGCTGGTCATGGCCATAGTTCAAAGGTCACACAGGCCATGCTTTCAATAGACACAGGCCCTTATTACTATCAGGGTGCAGACGTAGACAATATAGACCATTGCATATATGGGAGCTCTTTTACTTTCCAATACATTTAACTTTATGTCCAACCAGTCCAGAGATTTACAAAGCCCTGCCTTGTGTGGAAATATGCATACTGTATGCATTTTTCTGCAGCAGACCAGGGCTCATCTGGAAAGCTGTGTGTACTGTCTCTTTCTACGCACCACAGCTGGGCTGCAGTCTATAGAACTAAATGAATTGTAATTTTGACATTTCAATAAAGTTGAAGGGAATAAAAAAGGTACAGTCAGGTCCATAAATATTGGGACATCGACACAATTCTAACATTTTTTTGCTCTATACACCACCACAATGGATTTGAAATGAAACGAACAAGTTGTGCTTTAACTGCAGACTGCCAGCTTTAATTTGAGGGTATTTACATCCAAATCAGGTGAACGGTGTGTAGGAATTACAACAGTTTGCATATGTGCCTCCCTCTTGTTAAGGGACCAAAAGTAATGGGACAGAATAATAATCATAAATCAAACTTTCACTTTTTAATACTTGGTTGCAAATCCTTTGCAGTCAATTACAGCCTGAAGTCTGGAACGCATAGACATCACCAAACGCTGGGTTTCATCCCTGGTGATGCTCTGCCAGGCCTCTACTGCAACTGTCTTCAGTTCCTGCTTGTTCTTGGGGCATTTTCCCTTCAGTTTTGTCTTCAGCAAGTGAAATGCATGCTCAAACCGGATTCAGGTCAGGTGATTGACTTGGCCATTGCATAACATTCCACTTCTTTCCCTTAAAAAACTCTTTGGTTGCTTTTGCAGTATGCTTTGGGTCATTGTCCATCTGCACTGTGAAGTGGCGTCCAATAAGTTCTGAAGCATTTGGCTGAATATGAGCAGATAATATTGCCCGAAACACTTCAGAATTCATCCTGCTGCTTTTGTCAGCAGTCACATCATCAATAAATACAAGAGAACCAGTTCCATTGGCAGCCATACATGCCCACGCCATGACACTACCACCACCATGCTTCACTGATGAGGTGGTATGCTTAGGATCATGAGCAGTTCCTTTCCTTCTCCATACTCTTCTCTTCCCATCACTCTGGTACAAGTTGATCTTGGTCTCATCTGTCCATAGGATGTTGTTCCAGAACTGTGAAGGCTTTTTTAGATGTCGTTTGGCAAACTCTAATCTGGCCTTCCTGTTTTTGAGGCTCACCGATGGTATACATCTTGTGGTGAACCCTCTGTATTCACTCTGGTGAAGTCTTCTCTTGATTGTTGACTTTGACACACATACACCTACTTCCTGGAGAGTGTTCTTGATCTGGCCACCACCGTTATTTTCCGTGGTCTTCCGGGTCTTTTGGTGTTGCTGAGCTCACGGTGCGTTCCTTCTTTTTAAGAATGTTCCAAACAGTTGTTTTGGCCACGCCTAATGTTTTTGCTATCTCTCTGATGGGTTTGTTTTGTTTTTTCAGCCTAATGATGGCTTGCTTCTCTGATAGTAACAGCTCTTTGGATCTCATCTTGAGAGTTGACAGCAACAGATTCCATATGCAAATAGCACACTTGAAATGAACTCTGGACCTTTTATCTGCTCATTGTAATTGGGATAATGAGGGAATAACACACACCTGGCCATGGAACAGCTGAGAAGCCAATTAACACTGAAATTGGAGCCACTAATATAGCATAAAGGGGTTAACACTGAAATTGGAGCCACCAATGCAGCATAAAGGGGTTCATTAACACTGAAATTGGAGCCACTAATGCAGCATAAAGGGGTTCATTAAACACTGAAATTGGAGCCACTAATGCAGCATAAAGGGGTTATTAAAACCTGCCACTGGTCACTGCCACTGGTCAATGTGTCAGTGACCAGTGGCAGTACATTAACCCCTGCATGGTGCATATTACAAACACCATTGGTAATTAATTAACTCCTCCTCCCCCTCCCCCAAAAAAGTTAGCAAATTCAATTGCAGAGGCACATCTGCCTACTTGTTTGACAAGGTTCCTCTGGCCTGGGTCGCACTTGCAGCGCCAACACTATACGCTCCTGTCTCTCATCCCACCCTCTTGATGTGGTCACCCCGGGCCGGGACAAAGAAGCGCCTGTTGGGTGGAGATCACTCCTCCTGACATGGAAGTGAAGGGGTTCATCCTAGGCTTGTGCTGGGTACAGGAGTGCACTCGGCACAGCACTCTGTTGTACTTGTTGTCCTGCAAGGTTTTAGCAGCAAATGATTGTCGGCACTTCACCTGTGTTGTTCCCCCTTCCTCCAGTAAATTGTGCTGCCCAGGGTTCAGTCCCTTCCAGGGGCGGACTGAAAACTCATGGGGCCTCCGGGCAGTAGGGGATCATGGGGCCCCTGTGTCCTTGCCCACACTTAAAGCACACCCAAAAAAGCCTATAAAAGGTACCAGGGGCATTTAATTGGGCCCCCTACTGACCCTGGGCCCTCAGGAAGTGCCCGAGTGCTCAAATGGTCAGTCCACCCCTGGTCCCCTCCCGGCCCTAGAACATTTAACATGTTCCAAAGCTGAACTTATACTGTATTTTAACAATGGAAAACTTAAAAAAAAAAACCCATATCAACATATAATAACAATAACAAAGCCACAAATAAAATCAAAACAGCAACATACCACCCCTGCACAAAAGCCCCTTTTTGGAGGGGAATCCTTGTAGCAAGAAAAAAAAAAAAAAAAAAAGAAGTCAGCAGTTAAGTGTCTGCTGGCCTCAAATCAACAACAAAATAAAATGAAAGATAAAAAAAGCCAATTGAGAACACAAAAAGGCAACAAAGGGGTTTATTACCCAAAAAGCTAGCAATCAGAATTAAGGTACAGTTCCCTAACTGACCCTAGGCTCGGTTTGCGTGTTTTCCCAGCAAAAGTTAAAAAAAACAAACAACTAAACTAAAAGAAAACATATTTTAAAAAAATCATATATACAAAAAAGGTCTGACTTGATGGACCACTTGGTCTTTTTTCTGCCATCACTTTTCTATGTTTCTATGTAACCTCTGAGTACCTCTGTAAAGCAGGAAACCTGAGGGTATAGATGTTACCATGTGTACAGTATGTATACAGTATAATACATGTATACTGTACAAAGGATCCCCTTTATGTGTATACTTAAAGATAATTGAAAATACTCTACAGTCCTTTCATGATGTGAAGCTTTTTTATAGATTCCACCCCTTATGCAAATGTCATCGCTCCTCCTGATCTCAGATCTGTGGGGTTGAAAAGCTGAACAGAGAGGTTGTAGTGTCTCAGTATAAAATTGAACTCTGTCCAGAACTGAGAGTGTTGGAGAGCAAATATTACAACATGTTTCTGTTTTATTATATCACCTGTCTGTCCTTATTGCTCGGTAAGTCAGGTTAAGAAAGGGTTAAATAATACTGATCTGATGATAATTTATGTCTCATGTATAACATTGTGATTTCTCTTATCAAGGAGTCATGTCAGAAACACTCATTCAGTCCAATTCAGAAGTTAAAAAGCCTGGGGAGAGCGTGACGATGTCCTGTAAAGGAAATGGATTTGATATTGCTGACTATGGAATACACTGGGTTCAACAGGTTCCAGGGAGAGGAGGACTGACATGGATTGGGTGGATTTATCCTGGTAGTGGGGGATACAGATTATACCTCTTCATATGAGGGAAGATTCACAATAACATCTGATGAGTCCATAAACACAGCATATCTACAAATAAACAATCTGAAAGTGGAAGACACGGCCACATATTACTGTGCTAGACACACAGCGATTAAAAATCATCATCTTCCATACAAAAACATTATGACAATTCCCCTTTCTGACCACAAGGCCGCAGGAGATACTCAGGATTGGCCATTTCTTTCTCATTTATATACATAAACCCAAGATGTCAGAAATATACTGTAAGGCTGGTTCACACTATAGAAATGCAGTCCAGATGCGTTCTGGATGTGTTTCCAGATGCGTGGTTTTGATGTGTTCCATTGCGTTTTTTTATACATTTTTGACGTGTTCCAGTGCATTTTTGATGCTTTTCTGGTTCATTTTTCCCCTCTTTTTTTCTTCAATTCCAATAGGGACATATGTGTTCCAGTACGTTTTTTGGTGCATTCCAGCTGCATTTTCATGTGTTTTACTGCGTTCCAGTACAGTTCTGTGCAGGAAAAATGCAGCCTGTTCTACCTTTTTTTTTTTTTACACTGGAACGCACTCGAACTGCAAGCACTGATCTGAAACTATGACATTGACAACCATATAACCTACTTTCTGTGCATTTTGGATGCAGAATAAAGCAACTGAAACTCATGTAGTGTGAACTGGCCCTAAACCTTTTATATATATATTTTTTTTTTATCGATTCTGCTCTTTTATTTCTGAAATATCCAGATGGTCACATTCATTTTCTGAGACCATTAGAAGCAAGATTACATTATTACCAAAATAGTTTAAATATCAGATATTTTACTCACACTGCTTATGCAAAAAATATGCTTTTCATCTGACATTAAAGCAGATGTAAATCCTACATGTAACTGGCATTTTTTAACTGCTTCCCGTCCGCCCTATTGCAGAAGTACTGCTACAAGGCAGCACGCGTACGCAAAATCACACACACACACATATATTTATTTATTTATTTATCTAGTTTATATAGCGCCAAAGGGTTTGCTCAGCGCTGTACAATAGAGGGGGGGACAATACATGAAACAGTACAGTAACATCAAACAGCACACACGAGGGGTAAGAGGGCCCTACTCTTTCGATCTTACAATCTAGGAGGGAGGTAGTGGTACAGGAGGAAATGGCTGTAGTGGTACAGGAGGAAATGGCTGTGGGGGATGGAGTGGTAGGAGGAGGGAAGGGCAGCGGCTGTTAGGTGAGGGTGGGGTAGCTTCCCTGAAGAGGTGGGTTTTCAGGGAGCGCCTGAAGGTGAGGAGGGAAGGTGACAGTCTGGTGGATTGGGGTAGTGAGTTCCAGAGGATGGGGGAGGACCTGGAGAAGTCTTGCAGTCGTGCGTGGGAGGAGGAGACCAGGGAGCAAGATAGAAGGAGGTCCTGTGAAGAGCGAAGGGTACGGGTAGGGTGGTACCTGGGAATCAGGTCGGTGAGGTAGTTAGGGGCAGTGTTGTGAATGGCCTTATAGGTCAGAGTGAGCAGTTTGAATTTAATGCGTTGGGCAATGGGGAGCCAGTGGAGGGAGAGGCAGAGGGGGGTGGCAGAGGTGGAGAGCGGTTTGGTGAGGTGGATGAGTCTGGCAGCTGAGTTCAGGATGGTCTGAAGCGGGGAGAGTTTGCACTGGGATAGGCCGGTGAGGAGGGAGTTGCAGTAGTCAAGGCGTGAGATAATCAGGGAGTGTACGAGTAGTTTAGTGGTGTCTGGGGTAAGGAAGGAGCGTATCTTGGCGATGTTTCGGAGGTGGAGCCTGCATGTGTTTGTGAGTGATTTGATATGAGGTTGAAAGGAAAAGTTTTGAGTCCAGAATGACGCCAAGGACCTTGGCTTGCTGGGCGGGATTGATGGTGGTGTTGTTTTGGTAGTGATGGAAAGGATAGGGGGGGGGGGGCGCGGGCTGGGGGGGAAGACGAGAAGCTCGGTTTTGGAGAGGTTGAGCTTCAGGAAATGGAGCGACATCCAGTCAGAGATGTCGTTTAGGAGGTGAGTGATGCGGGCGGAGAATGTGGGGGTGAGGGGTGGATAGGTAGATTTGAGTATCATCAGCGTAGAGGTGGTAATTGAAGCCGTGGGAGTGTATGAGTTTGCCAAGGGAGGAGGTGTAGATGGAGAAGAGAAGGGGTCCAAGGACAGAGCCCTGGGGGACCCCAACAGAGAGGGGGAGGGAAGAGGAGGTGGCATCGTTGTAGGAAACGCTGAAGGAGCGTTGGGATAGATAGGACGAGAACCAAGAGAGAGCGGTGTCTCTGATGCCAAGGGATATATATATATTATATATTATAGATAGATAAATATACACACACGTGATTTTGCAGTTCTGGGTACCTCGCCGCCAGTCGCAGCCACGGGTCCCAGGTGGTGATTACTTGCCAGCGCTCCGTGATTGCTGAGCATCTCCGAATAGGAAGGGAGGGGGAGAACTGTTTGCAAACAGTTCTCTCTCCTGTCAGCTCCTGCACACTGCTATGCATGGCTGTAAGCACAAACACCATAGTAAAACATACCCAGCACACCGTTAACCCTTTGATCGCCCCACATGTTAACCCCTTCCTGCCCACTGCCATTAGTACAGTGTCAGTGGTTTTATTAGCAATGATCACTGTATTGTTGTCACTGGGGATGTCAGTGACACCAAGTCAGTTCCCCTCAGTATCAGAATGCTCACACAGTCCTGCAGTCCTGCTATAAGTCGCTGATCGCCGCCATTACTAGTAAAAAAAAAAAAAAATCCCAGTATATATACCGCTATTGGTAAACACTATAACTTTCACATAAACCAATTAATTTACATGTGTGTTGGGATTTTTTTTTAGCAAAGACATGTAGCAGAATACATTTTGGCCTAAATTTATGATGAAATTAGATTTTTAAATTTTTTTTACTGGGCATGTTTAATAGCAAAAAGTCAAAAATAGTGTTTTTTACCTCAAAATTGTCGGGCTTTTTTTTTATAGCTCAAAAAATAAAAAACGCACAGGCGATAAATACCATTGAAAGAAAGCTCTGTTCTTGGGAAAAAAAGGAGGTAAATTTCATTTGGGTGCAGTATTACATGACCCGCGCAATTGTCAGTTAAAATAACACAGCACCGTAACGCATAAAAATGGCCCGATCAGGAAGGGGGGTAAATCCTCTGGAGGGCAAGTGGTTAAATAAAATACATATTTTCACCATTTTTCATCCTTTGTGCCATGCATCTCAGTGTTGTTGATCTCTCCCACCCTGTGTGACAAGAACATTTAGGAACAATTGGGATAGAGTGCTGCCACTCTATAGAGATTCTTTCACACAGGAATCTGGAGGGGCAGTACATACAGGGGGCTGAGCCACAGTTTTACCATCCCCTGACTGCCCACCTAAAGTCTGCCATACAGCCAGAGGGGGCTGTTCACATGCCCCATCTACAATGCTTTGCATCACAGAAAATTTAAGGCAGCATGTTGAGCTGGCAGGTGGCATCTCCATTGAAATCTACTCATTCGAGTCAATCTGGCTGCACTGCAACCTTGAGCCAATTGCTTAGCTTAGGGCTGCAGTGCATTAAACCCATATAAAATTGTCATTAAAAAAACAAAAAACAGTCAATCAGGGGATGGCAGGATCACCTTCTAAGCATATAACAGATTATAGCTGCCCTCTGAAAAAAAAATATTCACTGAAAATTGCTTTTCAGGGAATGAGCAAGTGTTAGCAGAAAGTACCTAAACAAGGAACTTCATTATGAAATATTTTAAAATTACAATAACCAAATGAGTCTCAGAGACTTTCTCTCTCTATTGCCCCCTTAAAGCCAGCCATACATGGATCGAAATTTGGGCAGTTCAGTAGGGACTGGCTGAATTTCAATCTATGAATGGGCAGGCTGGTTGTGCAGAAGTCAAATTTCCGCACTCGATCAGCATAGCTGGCTATAACTGGCAGCGCTGATCAGTGTATTCTGATGGTGGGTTAGACTCCACGCTGTCAGAATACAATACCTCAGCACGGAAGATTCCCCCATCTGCACTGAGTGTATGGATGAGCGGATCAATTCATTTTTTTCAGGATGTTGAACAAACAATTGCTCATATATGGGTTGCTTTTTTAACCAATAGGGTACCTTTACACTTTCTTAGATTGCTCAGCATTGCAGTGCATTGTCCATTGACTGCTAATATATAATGAATAGGGAAGCCATTTAATGGTGTGTAATGCCCTCTACCTTAGTTAGATAGCAGTTCATTGTTTTATTTTTCTAGGTAGAGACTGAGTATCAGCCTGGGATGAGTCAGCCTGTGACTGAGGCAGGAGTTCACCTCAGGACAGGCTAGGGAGGTTCTAAGGTCAGAGCTTCTGCAGCCCTCCCACCTCTCCAGAAACCTGAGAGATTTCTGAAGGAGGGATGGAGGAGGGGAGGAAGCTCAGATTTGCATACTTAAGGAACCTTGGCCAATCCCCTGTCAGGAGGCTGGGCAAGGTGACCAAGGCAACCCTTAAAAATCACAGAGCCTGGGCATGGCAGGAGCAGTGGTGGGCGGAAGATGGAGTGAGAGGCTGGAGTGTGGAGCCTGGGAGGGGACCCAGGGAAGGGGCCGACTTACAGACAGGTGCTGGAGAAGAGGATCTCTACTGTACTTCAAGGGAGGATATCCTGAGCAGCAGGGAAGGTGCTAGCTCAGTGAAAGGCCTGAAGACAGCCACCAACCCATTGAGCTACCAGGAAAGGACAGTGTGAGTACTTTTGCACTCCCTGGGCCAGAGAAGGGGAGAGGACAGTCAGGTGCAAGAGCCATCTAGCTCCTCATCTGGGACTGTTTCAGTTGGCAGTTCGTGGGCCCCCTTGCCCAGGGATACCCTCAGTACAGCTGGATAAAGAGGAGGATATATCTGGGAACTGAGGAGGTACGCCAAAGGGCTTTTAGTGCTCTTCAAAATAGCTTCTTATCTGGGGCTGCTGTATTAAATTGGCAGTTTCTGAGCCCCCTTGCCCAAGGAATACCCTCAGTAAAGCTGGGTGAAGAGGAAGATTCATCTGGGGCCTGAGTAGGGACACCAGAGAGCTGGAATGCTCTCAGAAGAGAGACTATTTTGTCCATATTTGTACATAGTTGCTAAGGAGTTTGTCCTCAAGTTTGCAGTCCCCTTGGGCATCCCATACACCCCTCAACCCTATCCAAGTTATCAATCCCTTAATAAAATCACAAAACCAAGCTCAGGAACTGCTTGCTG